CAAAAAGGTGACTCCGTCACTTTTGTCTCACAAAAGTTACCTAATGATACCACTGTATTATTGTAAAATATCTTAAAATCTATGCCAAAGAAGAATATGTTGCTTCATTCTTTAATGAGCTGAAAATAATGCCTTTTCCAGAATGGTAAGTTACATATTTCCAAAAGCCCACCTTTAATATCTAGAATAATATCACTTTACATTTCTCAGTATAATTCTTTTGGCCATCCCCCAGTGCCCAGTGCGACCATAATTCCTCATAGATAATCAGATTCCAGAGTTTTGGTATATAATTTAACATCACATTAACATATTTACATTTGGGGATTTCCCCATAAATTTACTTATATACATTAAAATACTATTCCAGTATTTTAATGTCCATAAGACCCTGTCATATGGATCAATGAACCCTCAATTTTTTTGCATCTCCAGCAGAGATAACCTGATGCCCATCATTTCAAGTACATTTTTAGAGTCCGGTACACTCTAAATACAATTTTTTGATTAATCAATTTTAATCACAAATCTGTTGATACCATTTTACTTGCTTTTAAGGATTTGCAGCCATTGATGGGGCATAATCAGAGATTCCATTTTTAGTCCATATTTGATATATCCCTGTCATGTCCATTTTAAAAATGTTCTTGTACTTTTGATAAAGATATATTAACTTCTTTCAAGGCTTCCATCTAATAAGAAAGCATCTCAAGGGCCTTTGAAGCAGCCAAAATATCTAGCCCACGTGGAGCTGTTAAAACATGCTGAAGCTGAAATACTGTCACTAGGAAGACCAAATCTGAAGTCAGGAAAAATAATAATTACATAATAATTTATTTAAAGTCATTATTCCTGCTTTTGCCCATACTTTCCAATGAAGCATTTTACCACCTATTTTTAAAGTAGAATTTTTCCAGAGTTAAATATTCATGAATCTCATTATCAAAATGCAACCTTCAACCCCAATGTGGTCCATATGTTTCTCTCTGTCTGCACTTCTGGAAATAAAACATCTTTTCTACTGTATGTTGATCCAAGAACTGGATCCCATGGCCATAATGGGAATAAATAACTTTCTGATAAAGCCCATAGGGGATAATATTCTACTAGATATTTATTCCACATACTTATGGGTGATAATATAAGCCCTGTGTTATTTTTGCAAGTCCAGTAAATTGAAGCCTCCCTCCTCAAATAATAAATTCAATTTAGATAATGAAATTCTTAGTGGGCTATTATTGCAAATACATTTCCTAAATATTCTAATAATCTGAAGAAAATATGTATTTAGATTTAGCACTGGGATGCCTTAAAGGATATAAACTAGACAAAGGACAATGCTAATTTTAATAGCATTATTTTTGTCCCACAGGCATAATGGGATTTTAATCCATCTATTTACACTCAGTTCAATCTTTTCTAAAAGTTTCAACATATTTATTTCCACGTATTTAGAAATATTTTTTGGAAATATAAAGTCACAAGTATTTAATATACGCAGTAGCAATCACAAAACCCAGCTTTTTACATAACTGCACTGAAATGTTAGAACCTGAAGGAAGAAAACAAGATTTGTCCCAGCTGATTTTAAAGTTAAAATAATTTCCAACATATTGTACTACCTGTATAAAGTTAGGCAGAGAAGTATAATACTTATCCAAAATTGCTAAAATATCATCAGCATGAATAAATACACTGCCAAAGTAATACCCTAATGTTCAAAGATTGCCTT